CAATCTTAATATGGCTCAATGAAATTGGATTAGGGTCTAAGTGGCTCGAACCACTTAACCGATGGTTTGAACCCACTTGGGTTGGGTTCAAGTCTAGAGAGGGAGATAGAAGAAAAATGAAATAAACGATTTGCAAATGATCCAAAGGGGGGCATTTATAGGCAACAAGGTGCCTTTTCGGGTGGGTGCAACCCTTTGGATACAACCATTTATATGTGTCTCTTCACACTTGACACATCCACTCCAATTGGTTGCAATGGTTCACATGGTGTCTGTTCACCAATAGACACATCCACTCCAATAGGTTGCAATGGTTCACATGGTGTTTGTTGGTTTTGAGTCGCATCTTTTCATTCCATAACCAGCCAATAATCGCACCTGTTCAGTTAAAGGCATCTATTGATGACTAATCAAACAATTTTCATTCACAATTTCTAACATTTTGTACACTATTTGATTGTGGAATCACCCCCCTAAATCAGGCCAGTTTAGAGTTTTCAATCTACTAATTTTAATCCGGGTTGACTTTAAGGAGTTATAAAGACTCCAAATCCATATCAAAAGTGGAGTTTCATTATCTCCCAATAATCCAAATCTTTCCTATCATTGGATTGTAAAATTGAGCCCAATTTTGGCTTAGATTAGGGTTTTCAGTGCCCTAATTTTGATTTTGGCCAACATTGAAGGGTTGTAGTCTCTCATCAAAACATTAAGTTGGATCACAACCCATTCACTTGAGTCCTACAATCTACTAAAGTCAAGAGTTGAGCATTCAAGTAAATTAGTTCAAGAATAACTTTAGTTTTAGAATGTCAATCTTTAACTTAAATTTCTTTTTAACTTTTGACTTTCACATTCACCTTAAAGCATTGGATCCTTCTTGACGTTTGTCATTGATCCTTGAGATTACTTTAGTTTATTGTATATGTAATTTGTTAGCTTTAAACTCAAGTAAGTATTAGATTCAATGTTTTGAATGCTTACTATTATCAAATTATTTCATACCCCCTTAGTCAGCATTGACCTTCCAACTCCGGGGATCCAATTGCACCCCTATCATTAGCTAGTCGATTAAAAAAAATTCAAGGGCATTATTCAATGACTTAGTTGGTAGAGTGCCTGCCTTCTTGAAAGAGTTGTGTTCGAGTTCCCCTCTTCCTAATTTATCCAGAAAAATAAATAAATTTTTTTAGTCTAACCCAAATTCCAATTGCACTTGGGTAAATTTATAACTATTATTGTCACAATTAGAATATCGCTGACTCGAGTTGCTCCCTATCCTAACCCAGCTAAAGAGAGCGACCTCAAGCTTAAAAACAATAAGTCTAGGTTTGACTGTTAGGTTGGCACATGGAGGTTGAATTTGATAAGAGTTATATTAATGTTGCGTTTATGCAATAGTGGAATGAAATGTCCATTTCATTCATTCTTTTGATTGTTACGAAAATGTTATATTAATGTTGTGTTTGGTACTCAATAGTGGAATGAAATGTCCATTCCATTCATTCTTTTGATTGTTATGAAATTGAAGTACAAATGACCTAGAATTAAAAAGGGAATGACATCGGGAATGGAATTAATGAAAATTCATTCCACATCTTATCAACCTATGGAATGATCGTACTCTATTCCCAAATAATTTATTTTTTATTTTCTTAAATCACGTCCCCGAAAAACACTCATGTTCCAAGTCAAAAGCCACCACCACCGCCGCCGTCTATACTACCACCGCCACCATTGTTGCCGCCTTTCACCGCCACACCGCCTTTGCCGTCACCACTATCGCCACCTCCACTTCCTTTCACCACCGCCACCTACACCATTGCCGCCTTCCACTACAACCACCACAACTTTCCACCACCTCCACCCCTTACACCACTGTTGCATTCCTCCACAGCCACCACCACCAACACCTACGCCATTGCCACCTTCCACCACTGCCGCCGTCGCTACCACCACCACCATTTCTTTTAGAAAATTTTATAAAAATGTTATTTTATTAGTTTAATTTAATTGTCGGAGGTGTTAGAAGAATTTTGGGTCTTTTACACATAATAATGTCAACCAAAGACTGGTCTGGCCAACCAACACAAATAGCGTTGATCATTCCATCCTTACATCATTTAATATTTGCATCCAAACTCTGAGAATAACTATTCTTATCAGGCGGACCCAGAACTTTTGGTGCGGGTGAGGGGGGTTAAGATTGAAATTTTGTAATAATTTCAGGGGGGGGGGCATTAGCAATATTTTATGAGTATATATTGAAAAAAGAAAAAATTAGCATGGTATATTAGTAAAAAAAAAAATTCTTGATTCTTATTCCATTTTCACTTCCATTCTATTCCATTACTGTGTACTAAACAGAACATTAGGGTTTTTTTTAAACTTAAAATTAATTTCTAGTTGACAACCCAGGTCACTCAATTTGCCTTACCTGCATCCTGTCTTTAATTTCCCACAAGTATGGAATTCAGAAAGGATATTGACACATATATATACTGAAATCAAGATTTTCATGGTCAATACAAATTTTTGTTTGCAATGAACTACATGTACCCCTTTTTAGGTAGGCTGATGTTCCCCTCTTTTCCTCTTTATATTTGAAGAAAGAAATAAGATAAAACAAAAATAATCATCTTTTCCACACTGAAATTGAATTGCTTAAATTTTATGGCTTCTAGACTCATAATATGGAATATATTCTTTTATTTTTTTATTTTATAATTAAGCTATTTTATAAAGAAGAAACTGGGTAGAAGAGAAGAGAGGGGCATTCCCCTCCATGTATAACAAACAGCAATTCAAAGAAGAAGAAAAAGAGTACTGAGACTATTGTAATACATTGATGTGCCCAATCTAGGGTCATGGAAAATCTTCAGTCTGACATCATCAAGAACCCTTTATCTGGAATATGTTTATTTTCTTTATTTTTCTATTTTTTCACTTTATAAAAAACAATATATTGTTTTGATCATGATTTTAATCTGCCATAATGACCATTATTTTTCTGATACCCTCATTTCTTTGTTAACCTCTCATGCATGTTTATTTATTTATTTCTTTCTTTTATTTTTTTTTGTTAAGTAAGTGAGTTGTATAAACAAGAAGCCTATTACAGGGATTCAAGGGGCATACCCCAGGAAAGGTACATCAACAAAGCTATAATCCACTAAGCTAAGAGAAACTAAAATAAGATAAATTTGTTATACTAGGTAAAACTAAAACTAGTAGGTATTCTCATGAATGTTGTTAACATTGTTTTTTTTTTTCGTTCTTTTTTTTTTTTTCCCTTTTTTTTTTTTTTTTTTTTTTTCTGTTTTAATGTTTAAATTTTCCTTATCCTCTCTTCCGTTACCACAGTGATATGTGAATGTTAATCTAAACTTCACATGCACCTAATGCCAAATGAAATTGGCTTCCATTTATTTTGTTAAAGACAGTGCCCTAAAAGTGTTGTTGAATGCCCTAAAAGTGAATCCTCGTTCTATTTTATTTGATGGGTAACATGCTTTTCAATCTCTTCTGACACTCAGAATTATCAGCAGAAAGGATTTGTCTACTGACACTTTCAGCAGAAAGGATTTGTGTACTGACACTTTTTTGATCTTCAAGTGCAAACCTACATGTTTTTACATTTTAATAAATCATGTTAATTATATGTTCTCTTTCTTGTTTTGCTTGTTTTGAAACCAAACTCATACATGTTACTTAAAGTTTATACTATCATCTCGTTTTAATCAGTCTAGCTCTTTTATTGTGTTGCATAATGTCAATTACTTTTATTGCTTTTCCTCCAATTCATTTGTACAATTTATAACACATTTTTGCTTCTGCATCTCAGAAATCATTCATATTAAATTATGCCCTTGTAAACAAAAACCTGTTTTAAAGTCTAGATTCTTGAAAATGCAAAGGTGTTGCACCATAAAATTGTCAAACTCGATCCTGCTAAGAGTTGATTTAAACTTGAAGAGGCCAACATTGTCTTTTGAACTCTAGAAAAATTATAGATACAACAATATACTTTTCTCGCACATCCTTGAACATATTTGATACACATTTGCCTTAACATATTCTGAATAATTATAAAAAATAAAAATAAAAATTTCCAATAGCTTGGCAATCATACTTCTTGCTTCAAATTAGGGTTTATTTGAATATCTTTACCCACAAGATAAACCATCACTCTGGATATTTTAAACTCTGGATACTTCTTATGTAATTTGAGATGAGCATAATTTCATTGGGGTTCCTAATGGCATTCAAAAGAATTTCTGTTGACATTATGATCCATTCCTAAAAGGAATAAAATGATAAAAATAAAAGGAGAAGATAAAAACCCAGGTTTATAAAATCAATAAATCTATAAATGAGGTGTTCACCATTACAATATCAACACAACTGCTAAGTCTGCTATCATAGTGTGTTCCACAATTTGCATATGAAGATAATAGTAATGTTGATTAACCATCCTAGCTTGAAGGAATCTGCATCAATATAATTTTCAATTTTTTTCTTCTATTTTTTGTTTTTGTTTTTGTTTTGTTTTGTTTTGTGCTTATCTAATTTTTGTTCTTTGAATCCAACTCGGTTCTTTTGGACATCCACATAAATTACATCTCTCAACTTGTGCTTTATAGCTTTTAGGGTTGCAGATCAGTCTTTTAAATAATCATGAAATTAAACAAATTAAGAAGAAAAAAAAAACTTGTTGCACAACAATGGTACTGTTATGGCCAAGAAATGGCAACAATTTGTTAGCCATCACATTAATAATTTCTTTAAATGTCAAGATTGTTATGCATATAGAATTGCATCACCATTACTTTTTTATGGTCATAATATTAAATGATGAAGAAAAATAAATTGTTTTCATGTGCTGATATATAGAAGGTACAATTGAACACACTCTAGTGTCATGTTTCATTATGAGCTTTTTTTCTTCCAAATAGCTGAAATGTATTTATGACATCTTTGAATTTGGATATTTTCCTCAGCATGCAGAAAACCATAGAGCGATATCGTGAACATACTAAAGATCAGCAAGTGATCAACGATACTGAAATTCAGCAATACGCGCAGGTCAGCTTCCCTCTATAATTCGTTTCTCAGAATAAACGAATAGAATGACTATTTTTCTTAAAACAATGTTTCATCTATTAATTCATAATTTGCTCCATAAGTAAGCAATATAGCCTAAGTTTTTGGCTTGCAATGGCAACTAGAAATTCTAGGCTTGGTTCAATGTAGGTTTGTGTTGTCCCATTACAGCGTCGGACTAATAGGCAACAGAAAAGGCCTAAAATATCTTTAGAACACTGATTGAAATTAAAATGATTAATTTTAGGAAATTACGTTTTAGTTCTAGAGTATCATGGGTTGGTGCCACTGGATTACTCTTAGAAACATATTGTTCATGCATGTATGGAGATAAAGACTTGTTTTATTGAGAGTATGTTCTGCATTTAGTTCTAAAGGAGTCTTGAAGAAAATGTCACATTTTAAGTAGTAGATACATGTAGCTGGCTAGATAATGGAAAATGATATATGAGACGATCTATGAAGTTCGACTTAGTTGGCGAACTGGCATGAAAAGTTTATATTGGTTAAAGCAAGTACGATTTTTGATTTGCGAATTAAGGGTGTGAAATTTTATTGGATAGTCATTTGAATCAGTGAGAAGTTTTACCAATTTATTTGGCTTGTATAACATGGTTCTAATAGTATAAGTGGTGATCAGTAATACTCTTACTTCAGCAAAATGTTATTAGGCAACACAATAAAGTGGTACTAGTGACATGATGAAGACACAATAAATCAAAGCTCTTGTAATCAAATAGGAGAAAATGCAGTAAAATTTTATAAAATACACTAAATTTGGAAAAGTCCATCAAAATTTTATAAAAGACAAACACAACAGGAGAGTCATGTTTGGAAGATGTTGTGAGATTATCACCTAATTGGTACGATGGCATCTTATACCCATCTGTTATTAAATACAAAGCTTTGAGGTTATGCCAATGAAGCTAAAAAACCTTGGAAAGGCAAAAGTTGAAAATTATGAAAAGATCAAGTAAAAAGAATTGGAGAAGGGAGTTGGTAAAAGTTTTGAAAACGAGTTGACAGAAATTGAAGCGGTTGGGAAGGCAGAAAAGGGGGCAAAAATAACCAAGTTTGATGGGTTGAAACTTTTTTAGGTGAAACTTTTTTGGATTTCATGAATATGAAAGAACTCTTTTATTTTAAAGAGCAAGCATGAGTGAGTTAAGAGGAACATCTAAATTTTAAAAACAGTGAAGATAGGTGGTGTGCTAACCATGAATATGTGAATTGAAAGTCGTTCTATCAATATATGGGAGTTCATGCATGTGATTCAAATATGTCCTGGATTACCTAAATAAAATGTGATATATATATATAAGGCTAAATGCATCTATAGAAGCCCTATATGTAACTCGTGCTGTGTGTTGGAAAGACATGTTTGATAAAGAAATTTTAGGAAGAGAATGACAGTGGGAGAGAGAGTGTGAAACTTGAACTCAATTTGATTTCTCAAACTTTCTTTATGCAAGATGACTTTACTCCATCCTACTTATAGGCATCCAAAATAAATCCTAACCATCTTTCAACTACCCGTACTTCTTGATCACAATTTTTACCTGCTACAACTTCTAGTTACCAACTTAGTTTTTTGTACGAATTGAAATTTTTAGGAATGATCTAGATATTGTGGACCATTTTAAAGACCAAAAATTATAGACCATAATTGTGGACTACACGACTATATTTTTTCATAATTACGTTAATTACCCACAACTTCGGATAATTCTATTTATACTACAAAATCCATTTCTTTCCTAGCATGCCCCCTTAAACTTCATTTTGCTGCTACAAGGAAAGCTCTGAGGTTGTGGTATGCTTAAGTCACTTAATGAAGATATCGGCAATTTGTTCATGAAGCCTTTCGAACTTCAATTGTACCTCCTTTTTTGTTGTGTATTCTTGAATAAAATGGTACCCAGTGTCATGAAACATGAAACATCGGATTCTTCGCCATTGCCAGTGCTGTTTTGTTGTTAACATAATCTTCTTCACTTCTTGTGGCATATGAAGCTCCTCCTTGAACAAGTATCTAAGCCAAATCACATGAAAAAAATTTGAGGTAGTGACAACATAGTGGGCTTTACAAGTGGAAAATGTCACAATGTGCTACTTTTTTGAAGTCCAAGTAAAAATTGTATCTCCTGTGTAGAACAGTCTCCCAGCCCAATCGCTTTTACTATATCCATCAAAGCTTGAAATTTTCAGATGACGAATAAAAAACAAGCCATAATCAAGTATGCCTTTGATGTAGCGAATTATTCTTTTGGCAGTGTTCATATGAGTCCATATAGCGGCTAACAACTCCCAACTCTAAAGAAAGTATTCTCATACATGTCAAGTAGAGCAAGCTTCCAACTAAACTCTTGAATAGTATTGGATCCACTTTTTCTCCTCCACGCTTTAACAACTTGACTACACATTCCATTGGTGTGCTTACAGGCTTGCAATCATTCATCTTGAATTTCTTGAGAACTTCTTTCACATAGCCTTCTTAAGAGATGAAGATGCGTTCCTCTTTGGCTTCACTTCAATGCCTAGGTAGAAGGACATAAGCCCTATGCCTGTCATTTAGAATGCTCTAGCCATTGCTTTCTTGAAATCTTCCAACAATCTTGGATTATTGCCTGTAAACATAAAATCATTGATGTACAAATAGACTTCAGTGTAAAAAGCGTGGTCATGAGGGAAATTAGTGAAATTATTCTCTTGGCAGTATGTTGATTATGGTATTCCATGCCTTTGGTGCTTGGCTTTAAGCCATATAAAGCTTTCTTCAATTTAAAAAATTTATTTTCATGCCCTTTTAACACATAGCCCATTGGTTGCTCAATATACACTTACTGTTTAAGAAAACCATTGCCAAATCACATCCATTTGATGAAATTTTCATTTATTTTGGGCTGCTAAAGAAATAATCAATGCTATTGTTTCTAAACGAGCAATGGAACAATTAAATACCTCGTCATAGTCAATGCTAGGTTGCTTTGTATCCTTTGGCAACCAATCTTGCTTTGTATATCTCCACCTCTCCTTTGGCATTCTTCTTTGCCTTCTTATCCCCCTTTACTCCAATTACGTTTTTTCCTCTTGAAAGAGTTGTGAGCTCCCAAATGTCATTCTTCTCAATTGGTTTAATTTCTTCATCCATGGCATCTCTTCATTTTCTGCTTTGCACAGCTTCTTTAAAGCCTACTGGTTCACAATCAGCAAAAAGATACAAAAGAGTTTTGCTAATTTTTATTCACAGTTACCTCGTAAATTTTTTGTAAGCTTCTCATCCTAAGCGCCCTTTCACTTGAGCTCCCACTTGATGGTGGCGAGGATTCCTCCATCATCATCAAGTGGGAGCTCAAGTGATGGAGTAGTGGCCCATACACTTGTTCTTCTTCTTCAAAGAGGGGGAAGAAGTTGTAATCTTTGTCTTGGACCTCCCAACTCCATATGCTTCTTCAAAAATTCAACATCTCTACTAATGATTATCTTGCCATTACTTGGATTGTAAACCTTGTAGCTTTACGACCACAGGTCATAGCCGATGAAATAATATTTTAACTTCATTAATCTAACTCCAACCTCTTCTCATCCAGCACAACAGAGGTGAAATGTCAAGCCTTCGTCCATTCCATGCCTCTTGTGGAGCTTTGTTCGATATATTTATTGTTGGACATCAGTTATATAAATATATTGCACAAGTAACCACCTAGATCCAAAATTCTTTGGGCATTCTTTTACTCCTTGGCATGTTATCGCCGTGTTGAGAATAGACCAATTCTTTCTTGCAGCAGCTCCATTTTGTTGTGGAGAAACTGTTACAGAAAGTCGAATCCCATTGTTTTCACATTCATCCGTATGTATGAATTAGTTCTAGTGACGCATTTGTTGTGTGACTTCCTTCTTTCGAAAATCCTTTTCTGAAATGCTTTCCAAGTAAACACCCTTCACATAATTGATCCAGAAGATTGTTCGAGGGCAAGCCTTTAGCCTTCTACCATCTTTTTCTTGGATAACAATTGTGGGCCACCAAAATCAAGATGCCCAAACAACTAGTGTCAAAGCCAAGAGGTATCTTTGTAACAATCCTTTAGACATTTTGCAACATCACTTTGGATATTTAGTAACATCCTACTCTTTTATTATTATTATTATTATTATTATTTATTTATTTTATTTTTAGCACCTTAGCAATCAAGTTGCTATTTTGGCTCTTATCGAAAGAGTTAGCCTCTCTAAGAGTTAGCCCCCGACAAATATATAACATGCAAGTAGATCTGATAATGCTACTACTGTTGCTTTCATTTTAGATATATAGCTTGCACTATGTCTTGTGAGTCTCATTAATTGCTGAGCTTATATACTTCATGATCAACTATGTCAATCTTCAACAGTATTTACATTGGTTCCTTTCTGACTTGCTCACAATAATCGGTTCATATGCAGCAACTGAAGCAAGAATCCGCGTACATGGCAAAAAAAATAGAGCTCCTTGAAGTTTCTCAACGGTTCTCGTCTTAGTTGTTAATTTTGCTTCCAAACTTGTGTATATATTCAACAACTCTAGGTTCACTTATTTTTGTTCATTAACCTCAAATTTGATATTGTTTTAGGAGACTTTTGGGACAAGGTCTAGGCTCATGTTCAATGGAGGAACTTCACGAGATTGGTAGCCATATGGAGCGAAGCTTAAAAAACATCAGAGAAAGAAAGGTACATAACAAATTTTAGTGAAAATGGACCTTATATTATGAAATACTAAAAGATCGAGTTAATTTTTCTTTGACAAAATTTAATCCACCAAATCCAGGATCAACTATTTAAGGAGCAGATAGAGGAACTAAAGGAGAAGGTATGCTTTGTTCTCAAGCTTTGATGCATAGGCTTTAATTAACTTTGACTAATATGTAATTTTTTTTTCTTCCCTCAACTTCAGGAGAGATTCTTGTTAGAACAAAATGAGAAGCTATGTGGAAAGGTACACTTGGTTTTTTTTTGGAAAGTTCAGGCAAATGCACACAAACTCACAATTATGGGTGCAAATGAACTGAGCCGAGCCGAGCTTTAGGTTGCTCGGGCTCGGGCTAGTTTGTTTATAGCTTAGTTCGAGCTTGTGACAAGCTCAAAAAGTTGAGCCCGGCTCGTCATGATATTAAAGAGTTCGGGCTCGGCTCGTTTAAGATATTGAATCAAACTTATATTCAAAATTTGCTCCGGCTCATTTTCAAGCTCTCTAGGCTCGTTAAGTAAATAATTACATTTTTATTTTATACTTCTATAAATTAATTCCAATAATAAATATAAATAAATGTAAACGAGCTCTTAACGAGCCTGTTGTTCATGAACATATACAAGTCTTGTACGAGTCTTTGTTCTAGAACATAAACGAGCTTACACGAACTCATATTTATGAGCCTACACGAGTTGAGCCCAACACAATTCGGGATCAGCTCATTTACTAAATGAGCTTAGAAATCTTGACTCGTTTGCTTAATGAACGAGCCCTAATTGAGCCCTAAACGAGCCGAGCCCAAACTGTTCATAGACAACTCGGTTCATTTGCAGCTCTACTCATAATATTACTCCTAGTAAGGCATGAACGTTCAACCTCTCATTTGAAAAGGAGAAATCATACCCTCTGGACTGATGATGCCCATTAGCGTACGCGAGTTTTTTCTAAACAATGTTAATGAACTTGCTTCGGAAACCTTCAGAAGATTGTTGATATAAATGTTATGCCTCTGATGTTAGTGTGCCGGACTGGAGCCATGGCAGCAACCGGAGAAACAGACAGAAATCGGAACTTGCAGCCAAAGTAGCGAGCGTTCAGATGTGGAGACTGAACTGTTCATCGGCCTGCCTGAAATGCGCTGCTAGGTTGTCAATGGTGGTGGCCAAAATCTTTGAATGTGCATCATTTGTGCGTCGTCTAAATCTCCATATGCAATAATTGTATATTTCAATTATATTATATATATGCATGCAATAAATCAAAGGAACGGTAAAGTCTTAGTTGATTATATGTAAGTTCTAGTTTAATTTGTGTCCTTGATTAGCTAAATGTAATTAGGTACTCGGTCAATAAAGTGCTTTGAAGATTTCGTATCATGGTACCAATTCATATATATATGCTTTACGTTGCTTAGAGAAGGGTCGTATCAAAACAGATTGTTTGAAACGTGCTAATGACGTTAAACTCTCTTAATTATCTTAAAACATGTGATGAAAAAATAAAAATAAAAATCATCTGGGAATCGAATGTAGATCGATATAAATGGGTTGATCCTTAGTTAATAAAAAATAATAATAATAAAAAGAAAAAAAAAAATAAGTCGTGGTTTGTTTATTGAACTTGGCAATTTGGTAATAACAGGAAATTCTCTTGAGAAAGGAGGGGGAGAGACCAAAAAAAAAACAAACTATTAGTTCGCCACAATGCTCAATAGTCTCGCTCGAGCTTGCACCAATTCCTTTGGCTCGATAAAGAAAGAAAGAACTCCATGTGACTTCAACTAAATCTCTCTGATTGTTCGGTCTCAAGTCGTTGAGAAAGATCGGCAACATTGCACCTCCCACGACGCCGTATTCCCTGGAGTCTGTGGAATCTTCCGGCAAATCAAATGTACGGCTATAATTCGATATTCTGGAGCTGCTTACGAAGGAAGACGACGACCTCATTTTCCAGGTAAATGTAATTTTCTCTCTCTCTCTCTCTCTCGCTCTATCTTTTTCTCTCTGTACAGCCGACTTGTACTTACCTTAAAACTGTTTCTCTCTCTAAAAAAGGCAACGATAGTGCCTTATTTCACACGCTTCGACTCAATATTCTTAAAACAAACACCTCTTAACCGATCTCCACACACGATTTCACCGCTTTCGTCTAGTCGTGCTTAGAGTAGTTGAGATTTGTTCAAAAACTTCTGTAATATGCCTATACACATATATATATATATATATATATATATATATATTACAGCTACTTAGCTACTATTATGTATATCTGTATCTATATCTACAGAAATAGAAATATATTCATGTTCTCCTACTATTCTAACCATATTTACTACTCTCTCTCTCTATGTGTGCAGTATGGATTGAAATTTACGTTGTTTAGAGAAGGGTCCTATCAAAACAGATTGTTTGACACGTGCTAATGACGTTAAACTCTATTAATTATCTTAAAACATGTGATGAAAAGATAAAAATAAAAATCATCTGGGAATCCAAAGTAAATCGATATAAAATGGGTTGATTCTTAGTTAAAAAAAAAAAACCCCTTGGTTTGTTTATTGAACTTGGCAATTTGGTAATAACAGGAACAAACTCCTTGCAACCAAATTTTAGTCAATTACTCTTTTAATCAAATTCCCGCCAAATCATTTCCCAAAATAAATCAAGAAACTCTGTAGGTAGCTGCAGAGAGTGAAACTCTGTTAAGCTGTCATCCTCCTCCTCCACCTCTGTCTTCCCAGTGCCGTCACTGCTTGCCGGATCACGAACTCCATGCTCAGGCCGTCATGATACGGCGAGGATTGATTAGGGATCCAATCCTATGTTTCTTCTTCTTCAAGAAGTATCGATTCTTGACGAAGAAGTGTAGGGGTAGGACATCTACGATCGGATTCAGAATCAACACTCGCCGTATCGTGAATCTTTTCCAGAGGTCTTATCGTTTGGGATGTTGAATTCAACAACCCTATAACGATTCCTTTAAAAGCAATGAAACTTTAATTTAAACCCTAAAAGGTCTACGTCTCTTCAACAGTCAACCTATTAGCACCTATGTCCAGTAGGTTAGTTTTGTTACTTATTTGGTTGTGTGGACATGGGCTTGAACTGTTTTTGCTTAGCCTATTGTTGATAATGGGCCTTTTGGTTTGGGTTTACAAAAAATAAAATAAATTGACGTATACACTTTTATCCCTTTATGTTCGTAATTTTATTATGAGAAAATTACTACCAACTTTTGCTTTTCTAATTGGAAGAAATAAAGTCTTAAATATATTTTTTAGTACCCATAAGTTATACTTTTGAAACTTTTTCATTTAAATTCTAAATCATTGTATCTTTCATTTATGCCTTTAGTAAATAAAAATAAAATTTTGTAATGAAACGTTCCTTCAAGTTTAGTTAATAAAATTATGAGTTTGAAAATTAGTAAATTACACTAAACACCCCTCAACTATTGAATTGTTGCAAAATACGTCATCTCATCTCTTTCTTTTTCTTTCTCCACTGCCCTCGTACTTAAAACTTTTACTGATCTTTTGAAGTGCGAGTTCAAATACTTTTGTTGTGCTGAAGACAAATTCCACTTTATCTTCAACTCTGAGAATGAAATTCAGAGAATTCTCTCAGGTTGTCCATGGTTCTTCAAAAAACATCTCCTCATCCTTGTTAAATGGCGGCCTGCCTTTATCCCCTCCGATTCTGCTTTCTCCCACACTTCTATTTGGGTTCATTTGGGCAATATCACTCTTGAAGGAATCACTCTGCAAATCGGCAAGAGGCTGGCAAAAGCTTTCTCTGCCACAGTAAAAGTTGAAATCTGGGATAAGGGGATGGACAGCAAAAAGTATCTCCGATTCAAAGTCAATATTGATGTCACTACACCTCTTTATAGAGGTATCTGGCTAAAGTTGTTTGGAAACACCATTTGGGTCTCCATTGATAGATCTTCCATCGTTTTGCTACAAGTGCGATCATCAAGACCATACCTTTAAGAATAGCTCTCATTGATAAACGTTGAATATTTTATATTTGAGTCCTTAAATGTGCATATGTTAATATTTTACGGTGCCTTTATCTCGGCTATTATGTTTGTTTTCCTTTGTTTGCTATTTGTAGGCCTTTACCTGAAGATATAGGCAATGCTCGAGCACTAAAAGGTGGTTGTGCTCGAGCTCTGAGGCTTGAATTCTTTCAAATCTGTCTGGTTGAATCCTAAACTAGCTCGGAAGGTTCGAAACATCTCCCTAAGCATCAGGGATAAACGTTGAATATTTTATATTTGAGTCCTTAAATGTGCATATGTTAATGTTTTAACGGTGCCTTTATCTCGGCTGTTATGTTTGTTTTCCTTTGTTTGCTATTTGTAGGCCTTTACCTGAAGATATGGACAAATCCAAGGTTTTGATACTTGGAATGGTGTCCCTGATGCTTAGGGAGATGTTTCGAACCTTCCGAGCTAGTTTAGGATTCAACCAGACAGATTTGAAAGAATTCAAGCCTCAGAGCTCGAGCACAACCACCTTTTAGTGCTCGAGCATTGCCTAGTGCTTGAGCACAAATCCTTAGTTCTCGAGCACTGATTGAAGAAAAGTAAGAAAATTATTTAAGCGATTAATGCTCGAGCACAAAGTCAATATAAAACCTTATGCACGAAATTGACTTATTTTTCAAGTAAAATTAGGGTTTCAAAAGTTTATATAAACATATTTTCTCACTTAGGGTTGTGTGGCTTTTTGCATTAAAATTTTGATTTTCATTAAAAGCCTTTTTTATGAGATTTTTAAGAACATACGCATTATATACACACCAGTGAATTAGGTTGTTGTTCAAATCCTTATCGTGTTCAAGTCTATTGAAGATTGCATCTACAGCTATCAGAGAAAGCAGATTTTATTTTTTCTTACAACAAATTCAAATTCGAAGAAAAAGAATTTTCGATCACACTTTGAAGGGATCAAGGCGCTTGCGGAGTGTTATTGATCTACCTGCAATCCTTCTACATGGTTCAAGGCATAAGTCTGAAGTCGAGAGCTATTAGATGGGAAGTTGCAAAGTCAGGGACGTTCAACAGATTGAGTCTTGATAGAGTGAAGGGGTTTGAGTCTGAGTCAGAGTTTGGTATATTTTACTTCATACATAGTGGATCGTTTTACATTTGGGATAGCATACAAAACCTCGAGATTTTCCAATGAGTTTCCTTACTAATATCCGATGTCACTCCAAACTCTACTCGCTTTCAGTTTATATGTGATGGTTTAAATAACTAGTAATTTTAGTAGAGTAAATTGGATAAAGAAATACGTGATTCATCCTTCTCTAAAATAGTTTTTAAAACTCAACTTTTCACATTACATTCCGCTGCACAACTCACATCATCGACTTCACCAGTAGTAATAGTTGGTGGAGACCAACCCTTTTCTACTACAACCCATACCTTCTTAACTTAACTTGAGATTGTGAAAAGGCTCTCATCTTAAATTTCCAAAAGGTTCAACCAAATGAGTTCATTCAACTGATCCACCCTCTCTTATAGAATTTTCTATAATAAAATTTTGAAAGCAAAAAAATATTTTTATTTTAAAAAGATTGTACAAGGAACAATTCACTATTTAGAGAACCTGATATCAAAAGTGAGTTGCACTATGTGGAACGGTTATGAAAATATGTTTTAAAATCACTTAGAGGGGGTGAAATGTGTGGAACTCGCTCCTTTATCCGATATTTTATTTTTACCCACAAATTAACTATATAAAGCAGTTAATAAATTAGAGTTAGATATGAGATTAAGATTTTTAGCGTGGAAACCCAATCAGATTCACTAACTCGAAACAAAGTTCAACACTATCACAGGCCCACACCTACTCTATTATACTAAGAACTAGTTATTGAACGCCTTTGTGTTTGTGACTCCCCATCCAAACACTCTCGACTTTGGGGTTATTTCTCAATTCTTGTAAAAAGGTTGTTGGAGGAACACAAACACTTCTCGAATGATCCATTCCCTTTGTAGAGCAACTGAATTCTTATTTCAATGATTTGTAAATCAATGAAGAAAAATCCTGCTACTAAATTAAATTGTTTGAATCTTTAATATGTTTGAACTCCGATTAGATAAAGAATACTATCCTAATTCACTGTCCTATAATTGTGTGAGATCTAAAAAATATAAAAACACAACGAACAATCAAGACGAATTTATGAATAAAATACTTCTTAAGAAGGCTCTCTCAATTTGCAAAATTGTTAATCTCAAAGCCGTAACGATTCATGAGAGAAAAATATTATTTATAGGTGATAGAGAGTTCTTATCTAAGTTTGAAAGTAAGTCAAAGTCATACAAGGACGCCTCTCTAAAATCCGACCAAAAAGAAAACTTT